TATTTACTTTTATTTATTTTCTAAGTATTTATATATATATAAGTTCATAGCATATGTTTGCATTCAATGTGTTGTTCTGATTGAGCTCTTGGTTACATAAAAAAGTGTGTTGGTTATGAAAATGTATGAGCAAATTTTGACCATGACGTTGACTCGAATGACAGGTTTGCCAGAGAAGTCGGTGTTTTAAATAGGTATTGTTTTTTGGCGTTAACTAATTATTCAATCGTCAGATACAAATAATATTGTCTAGCCAATATTTGTTAATTTTTATTTTCTTATTACAAATAATATTATAAAATCCAAAGAAGAGTTAAACTCATACTCGATAAGACAGGTTTCACGTGCAATGCCCATAGACCAAAAATCACATTCATTTTTGGACTAGACTAATATCAGCAATCAAACATATGGTTGTTGAGTCTATTTTATTATGTTTAAGAGAATGCGTCGTTAAACTGACTTAGTAACGTATTGGAGACGCACTAAATAAAATTATTATATTGGCAATGGTATGCTCCACGATTATAAATATGCGATATTATATTAATGAAAACCAAACATTTGGATAAGTCATACGCCAAATTTGCATGAGACAGAAACACTTGGAAATTTGTACACCAAGTCTAAGAATGATGTGATGCTGATAGAAAAGGTATCTCGTTTTCTAAAATGATCCAACATATTCAAAAGAATAAATCAAATTATTTTCCGAGAATAAAATTAATACACATAACTAAATATCTCACAAACAAAAAAAATAACAAGAAAGAATAAAAAAGAAACGAGTGAGTGCATGTGAGATGGGCCAGAGCCTCTGATCCAACTGGCAGTTTCTTCGAGGGACATGCATGAATGACCCTTTCCTTTCTTTCTCTTCCTACTTAGGGTTTTTGATTTTCTCATTTTTTGATTCTGCATTTATTAGTTACTTTTCTTTTATAGCCTAGAATTTTCGGGTCAAAATTCATGAAATCTTTTAGATCAGAGACCAAAATAGGCTCGAACTCACGACATGATCTGACTCCACCGCCACAGTCTGATTTCAGATATTTTCTTATTTATTTTACAAACACATTCTGTGGTATCTTCATTCCTTTCCTTTGTTGTACATACATTCTTATCTCTAAAACACTTTATATATATACTACGGTTTCTTAAGATAGATGAATAAGTATGTATAATATTTAAAAAATGTTTTACCAAAAAGAAAAATGAGAAATTGATTTTGAACTTAAGTTAAGATGAATTTGAATATGTTCCCGTTTAATATCCAAAAGAATAAGCTGTTAAAATTATAGTACATATAACATAATATATATGTGTTAAAACAATTTTTAAAAATCCAAATATATAAACTCTAGCCAAATATTCATTCTTCAAAAAATAAGTGTTCTATAAAATCTAAAATCGTTGAACGTTGTTGACACCATTTTTATTTTAACATCTTTCTTCTTTATTTTAAATCTTAAAATTTGAAAAACGTTGACATAATAAAATTGAACAAGTTAATTAAATGATATGCTTCCTTTGATTAGTTATAGTCGATCGCCAACAAATTATTAAATCAATTTTTTTTTTTTGTAATCGTTAGTCCATCGAAGACATATCCTCCATGATTATAACCATGACGAAAACCACGTACACCATTATTTTCTGTTCGCGGAGCATACATTTCTTTTATGTCAAGTAAGACTATTACTTCATATATCATAAACACCTAAATGTTATCTTGCAACTTCTTCTTTATTTATTTTCCTTGGAAATAAGTCATGTAGGATTAATCTTATCTATATATTGGATATTGATTTCATGGTGGTCGTTAGAGAGCAAAGCCATTAAGATTTATTCATGGCATCTTAAAGCCATCAAACTATCATGATGAAAACAACAAACTATAAATGCTATCCCAAAACTAACAATAAATGTTAGAATAAACTGGATTCATTTAAAATTTGGTATTATCTTCGGAAACTTCTCTCACTTTTTCAGAGAAAAAAACAGTTACTACTATACCGACACATCCTATTAGACCGTATATCTAGGTTTTTTGCCGGCATAGATATTTTGTAATTTTGCATACGGAATTAATATAGATGTGTTCGAGTACATTTCCATGAGATTGAACGCCTTAGACATGAAGTAGTACATAAACAATGTTTGAAAGATTGTTAAAAATGTAGTACTGTACATGTTAATATGGTTGATCGAAATAAATGTTTCACGTACTGCTATAATCTTTTTATATCATTTTATTTGATAGAAAAAAATCGTTCAAAGTAGCTAACTTAATTATATTATATATACTACCGTCCCATTTTAACAAAAGAATAACACTTGTTTTGTATTGACTGCATTTTACTCATTAACTGTCCATATTTTGTGTAGTTTCGAACATTTTAAGATCCATCATTCCTCTTATAAAACTGTGTGCAATGGAAATATATATTGAATAAATAATTCAACAGTTGAATCTTTACAATAAAGATGTTGAAAATAAAATTTTTTTACGTGGATTCAACTCCGTTGAAAGTATTCCACATGTCGAAAAAAAAATTTGAGACCACAAATGACACATATTCTTTTTTATTGGATATTGAAATTTTCAATTTCACTTTAATTATTTAACATCAATTATTATATACTAACCTAATTTATTTATTTATATTTTTAATATCAAAATTCACCATATTTTTTCCTCTATAAATAGATGTTTGTTTCATTTGATTTGGAATAGAAAAATAAAAATATATTTTACTATAATTCTATTTATTAAACAAACCATTGGAAATGTTAAAAATGAAATAGATGTTGAATTATTAGGTGAAAGAGATAATATGATGTGGAATGTTAAAAACAAAAAAAAGTGGGTGTTGAAAAAACAAACCAAAGTATATAGTCTAAATTGTACTTTTTTGGTTCTTAATTAATGATGCACTGGCATGATCGATTTCTGAAGAAATATTTTGATGCGGAACAAACAAATAATGGAGTATTAATATGTGTTAAGCATGTATGATAGGTTGCCATAAAATGAAACTTTTTTTGAATATATTATTTACTATTCTTTTCGGATCGTGTGACATCGTTATTCAGTAATTTGTGGCTTTGAATAGGAACAAATTTCGACTCTAAAAAAAATGTGAATATATATATATATATATATATATATATATATATATATATTCATTTAACCATAAAAATATACATCTTTCAATTAAGTTATTTAACTCTTTTTCGTAAATATTAGAAGTACTCGTAACATTTTATCAAACGAAAAAAATGCAAAATCATGTTTCTCTCATCTTTCTTGTGTTTCCAAATACAATATACCAAACGCCTTGTAGATCATATTTTGGAGAGATAATAATCGTATCTTAGAAATCTTCAAACTTTTACATATCGAAAAAATTAAAAACAATAGTATAAAGTAGCGGTATAAAAAAGTTGATTGTAACACTTTTGTGATTAAGTATTATTGAAACGATAAACTACGTACCACCATAGTTTAGGATTTTACCAATAATTAAGACTGATAACAGTCGATGACTAATAAATAAATATGGATTTTTTTCGTATAATGTGTGTAATACACAACACAGCGATCCACACGTGTGGATTCGGTGTGGGGGAGGGAAGGGTAATTGCGTGTAGCGATGGAACACCGTAAGTACTGTGAAAGAGACCAATGGAAGAAGCCCTACTCTCGTTTTTAGTATTATGTCACGTCCCATCACCAACTCATGTGAGTCCCCACTCGTAATTTTGATCCAACGGTTACGATTCATTCCTTGTTTTCATAACCTATCATCGTACACCGCTCACTTCCTTTCTTTCTAGGGACAACCATACACTGTCCTATTCTTCTTCTTCTTACGCATCTAATAGTATCTACATACATACATATTTTGACTACTTTGACGTCGAAAATCTATCCTATACGTACTTTAATAATATATGTACCCGTCAATTCAACTATATATATCGCCGACAGAAAAATATTAATACATTATTCGTATACACATACCGGCTGTTCTTAATAAAGAAAGATTTCGCTTTTGAGACTTTTGTGACCCAATTCAAAACGTATATATAGAGTGATCGTCAGTTAAAAGAATTTATCATTTCACAAATTCATTTGGTTTTATATCAAAATCGATTTCCATTGCAATACTCTATCGCTTAACTCGTAACAATGTTATATACAAAACAAGTCACAGTTATTGGTTTTTTTTTCATCTAATATATAGATATTATCTTGGAGAAACGCAAACGATAATGACGTAAGTCAATGTATGATTTTATAGGGAGATCAAGTATGACTAAGAAAAACCTTTGTGGCCACCAGGACACTAAACTAGGAACATCATAGATACAAGATCCTATCCATCTCGATAGGTTACTATAGAGGATTATTTTCTAAACCAGTGTCTCAAAATATATAGTCCCTTTCATGTTTAACTCCAACATTAAAGTTTTTGTATACTTATCTTATTATTATTATTATTTTAACATGAAGATAAACATATTTTTAAAAGTGTATTCGATGTCTCATAGTATATTTTAAGTAAAAAAAAATATAAACTTTCAAATCTACACTGTTAGATGCAGCAACTATAATCGATGATGCATCGAAATTAGTTTCATATATAAAAATAACAAGATAACCTACACATATTATACACAAAATTAGTTTACAAAAATAGGGAAGGGAGATATATATGAAGCAACAAAAGGAAAAAAGGAAATGAGAAGATGTCTCTAAAAGCGAAATAGACCCAAAAATTTTGATTTATTACTCACCATATTTATTATTATTTTTTTCTTCTAAATAATTCTGCAATCTTCCATTGTTTTTCACTAAATTCACCCATGTTTCTATATCGCCAACTTTTAATAAATAAAAAAGTGAGATTTAAGTTAATATATGTAATAACTAATAACTGTTGTTTGCATAACTTAAATGTTCTCCGTATATAATAAACAAGCACTAGGGTACTAGCTATAAGCTATGTTTCTAGTTTGTCGCAAATTTTTAAGGTTTTGCTTAAGAATTAGTTGCATAAACAAATGCTAGTTGGATACTTTTGATGCTGATGTTATGTACATATATCATTTTCTTGCATAAAAACACAATAGCCGAATTTTCTAGCAACTGACAATAATGCAACTATATTTAATACAAATAAATAAAAAAATCTACAAAAGATATGACGATGGTACTGAACTACTGATCTATTTGTTTATGATGTTGTTTCCAACGTTACCCTTGTTACGTCAAGAAGTTGCACGTGCCTTCTTAGGTCAGTCTTGTCATTTCCTTTAACTAAAAGATCACTGTTTGGAATCAAAATTGCCCTCTCCTACATGCAATACGAACAATTATATACATAAATAAAGAAATAAATAGAATCAGGAAACCCTAAAAGCACGTCCTGTCATTTTTATCAGGTGATTTCACTGTCTATCTTGACTTATTGCTATATTATATGAAAAAAATAAAAAAAATTATGATTCGCACACTTCCATTTTCACATTACACAATTAAATAATAAGGTAAAAGAAAATAGCCAAAGAAATACATACATATGTACTCCAAAATCTAGTATAAGAACTTTAAAACCAAAGAATTTCTACAAGACTACAACATTGATTTTTTTTCTAAAAAATGTTTCAGTTTATTTGCAGTAGTTCACTAAAAATCAAACTCAAAATCTAGTATATAAAAAAGTCTTTGGCCATCCACTAGCCGAAAACAAATCCACAACAACACACCATGGAATACAAAAAAAAAAAGAGAGTAAGAAATACGATGATGTATATAATAAATATATGACGGTACCATAACGTATTATTAAAACCATAATAGTACTCAATTTTGTTACATCGACGACGCAACGAAGTTTTGAAATTCGGGAGAAGCATAAACTAAAAGAAAAAAAGGCACGAGTCCCAAACTGTAATAAAAAAGGAAATAAAGGGGTAAATTAGTAAATTAAGTGTCCTTTCGGAACAAGAACAAGTTGCTTTAAAAATGTTTTAAGCAGAAAATCAAAAACCCGCTCCGTTCGGGTTCGGGTCAAAAAACAGCCATTGTCGTTCTTTCTTCTTTCTTCTGATTCCTCCATTTCAAATAAGAGAGAGAGAGAGAGAAGTAAGTAAAACTTTAGTATAGAGAAGAATAAACAAATAATAATCGCACCGCCACGTCGCCGCCGTATTTCGTTACCGGAAAAAAAAACCCAATAAAAATAAAAACAGTCTCTTTCTTTCTTTCTTTGTCCATCTTTTTTTTTTTGGGTTTGATTATTATTCTCTGTGTAGCCATGTTCTGCAACAGTTGAGCAAGTGCATGCCCCATATCTCTCTGTTTCTCATTTCCTGATCTTCACCATTAATCAATATACTCCTCCTGGGATCTCGATCTCTCTGTTCTTAAGGTGAAACGACACCAGCTTCTGTCGTTTTAGGTAGCTCGAGATCTGTGTTTCTTTTTTCTTGGTTTCTGAGCTTTGGCGGTGGTGGGTTTTTCTGGAGAAACCCAAAGGACAATCAAAGTTTTGTTTTTTTTTTCTTTAATGAGAGTTATGAGTGGGATTATTAAGTAATTTACAAGTATGAAGGAGTTGAAGATTCGAAGAAGCGGCTTTGAAGTCGGCGAGACGAAGATTGCGAGCTTATTTGGCTGATTTAAGTTCTGTGAGACGAAGAAAAAATAAATCTTTTTTTTTTAGGGTTTTTAGATTTGGTTGGTGAATGGGTGGGAGGTGGAGGGAAACAGTTAAAAAAGTTATGCTTTTAGTGTCTCTTCCTCATTATTACATTTGGGAATCTTGAAATCTTTGGATCTTTGAAGAAACAAAGTTGAGTTTTTTTTTTTTTGGTTCTTGTTGTTTGCTTTTTAAGTTAGAGAAAAAAAATGAGATTATCTTCAGCTGGGTTTAATCCTCAACCTCATGAAGGTAATTCTCTCATAGTTTTCCTTTTTTCTCTCTCTATTACTTGCAAATGGTGTCTTTAGAAATGGTGATTTTAAGTTTTTAACTAACTTTGTTTGTGTTTTGGATCCAAAGTTACAGGAGAGAAAAGAGTTCTTAATTCTGAGCTCTGGCATGCTTGTGCTGGTCCTCTTGTCTCACTACCTCCTGTTGGAAGCAGAGTTGTGTATTTTCCTCAAGGTCACAGTGAACAGGTTTTTGTCTCCTTCCTTTATGATTTGGATTCAAATCTTTCCTTTTTAGTTACAGATTACTTGAGAATGTTTTGTGGTTTTCAGGTTGCTGCTTCCACTAACAAAGAAGTAGATGCTCATATACCAAATTACCCGAGTTTGCATCCGCAGCTTATCTGTCAGCTTCACAATGTCACAATGCATGTGAGGAACTCACTATCAGTTTTTATGAGAAACTTCTCTAAGTGTTTGTTTTGTTTGTGTGTTAATTAAGAACTTGATTCCTTACAATTTCAGGCTGATGTGGAGACTGATGAAGTCTATGCACAGATGACTTTGCAACCGTTGAATGCGGTATGAGACTTTATCCTAGTAACTCGTACTTATGTATGCGGAATTATGTCGGTGTTGTGAACTTTTGTGCTTGGTTTTTTTTGTCTGAATGCAGCAAGAGCAAAAAGATCCCTACCTTCCGGCGGAATTAGGTGTCCCGAGTAGACAGCCTACAAACTATTTCTGTAAAACTCTGACTGCTAGTGATACAAGCACTCATGGAGGTTTCTCTGTACCTCGCCGAGCTGCTGAGAAAGTTTTCCCTCCCTTGGTAATTCATCTTCTCCTTCATATGACAGTATCTTTTAAGCTTAGCTATTGTCTCTTTTAACCAGAAAAGTTATGTGTTCTTCAGGACTACTCGCAGCAGCCTCCAGCTCAAGAGTTAATGGCGCGGGATCTGCATGATAATGAATGGAAGTTCAGGCATATTTTCCGAGGTTAGCTTTGTTTGTGAAAATCAAAGTTCTTTATTGATAGCTGAAGAACAAAGAGGTTTATTTACTCTGCATTTGTTTCTGCCTTTTAGGCCAACCAAAGAGACATCTCCTTACTACGGGTTGGAGCGTATTCGTGAGTGCTAAAAGGCTTGTTGCTGGGGACTCTGTGCTTTTCATCTGGTTAGAAACATTTCTTCAAATTTGGGGTTTTTGTTTTAAATGATACATGCAAATGATGAAACTGACTCAAGTATTTGTAACGCTAGGAACGATAAGAATCAATTACTTCTTGGTATAAGACGAGCCAACCGACCGCAAACTGTCATGCCTTCATCTGTTTTGTCAAGTGACAGTATGCATTTAGGCCTTCTTGCTGCAGCAGCTCATGCTGCCGCCACTAACAGCCGATTCACCATATTCTATAACCCGAGGTACTGTCTTAGATCCTTATGAATGTGCTTATGTGTTGATTCTCTTCGTTTTGCATTAACGGATTCGGTTTTTTTGCAGGGCGAGTCCATCAGAGTTTGTTATACCCCTGGCTAAGTATGTGAAAGCGGTTTATCACACTCGCGTCTCTGTTGGCATGCGGTTTAGGATGCTGTTTGAAACCGAAGAATCAAGTGTTCGTCGGTAGGTGAATTATCAGAATTCCTATATGTTACTCTGCTTTTTGCAGCTGAATGTTCTTAAGAATCTTTGTTTGTTGTCAGGTACATGGGTACAATAACTGGCATTTGTGATCTAGATCCTACTCGTTGGGCTAATTCGCATTGGCGGTCTGTCAAGGTTTAGCTCAAAACCAAACCTTTAGTAGAAAATATTCACTGGTCTTTGCATTCTCGTATACATATATCATTCATCATCTGATCAAAATGCAGGTTGGGTGGGACGAGTCTACTGCAGGAGAGAGGCAGCCGAGGGTTTCCTTGTGGGAGATTGAGCCCTTAACAACATTCCCTATGTATCCATCTCCTTTTCCTCTCAGGCTGAAACGTCCGTGGCCTCCTGGTCTCCCATCTTTCCATGGTATTGTAAATTAAAAACGTGGTTATCTCCCAAAGGTTTCTATTTCTAGTCTTTTATATTTTCTAATCTTGGTTGCTTCCCTTTTTTTGCAGGCCTTAAAGAAGATGATATGGGTATGAGTATGAGTTCGCCGCTTATGTGGGATCGAGGACTCCAGTCCCTAAACTTTCAAGGTATGGGAGGAAACCCGTGGATGCAGCCAAGACTTGATGCTTCTGGTTTGCTTGGTATGCAAAACGATGTGTACCAAGCAATGGCTGCAGCTGCCCTTCAAGACATGCGAGGCATTGATCCCGCAAAAGCTGCTGCTTCACTTCTTCAGTTCCAAAATTCCTCGGGATTCTCAATGCAATCTCCGTCCTTAGTGCAGCCGCAGATGCTGCAGCAGCAACTCTCTCAGCAGCAGCAGCAACAACTCTCTCAGCAGCAGCAACAGCTCTCTCAGCAGCAGCAACAACAGCTCTCTCAGCAACAGCAGCAACAGCAGCAACATGCATATCTCGGCGTTCCCGAAACCCACCAGCCTCAATCTCAGGCTCAATCACAGTCAAGCAATCATCTTTCTCAGCAGCAGCAGCAAGTAATGGATAATCATAATCCGTCTGCGTCCAGTGCTGCTGTTGTTTCCGCTATGTCACAATTTGGTTCTGCTTCTCAGTCCAACACGTCACCACTCCAGTCCATGACTTCTCTGTGTCATCAACAAAGCTTCTCCGACACCAACGGAGGAAACAATCCTATTTCTCCGCTTCACACTCTTCTCAGTAACTTCTCTCAAGACGAGTCTTCTCAACTGCTCAACCTCACTAGAGCAAACTCTGCAATGACTTCATCCGGTTGGCCATCAAAGCGTCCTGCAGTTGATTCATCGTTCCAGCACTCTAATGCCGGTAATAATAACACTCAATCCGTATTGGAGCAATTGGGACAGTCCCATACAAGCAACGTTCCTCCAAACGCTGTCTCGTTACCTCCATTTCCCGGTGGTAGAGAGTGTTCGATCGAGCAAGAAGGAAGTGCCTCAGACCCGCATAGCCATCTTCTCTTTGGAGTCAACATAGATTCATCTTCTCTTTTGATGCCGAACGGAATGTCAAACCTTAGAAGCATTGGCATTGAAGGTGGCGACTCCACGACTTTACCCTTCACATCATCTAATTTCAACAACGATTTCTCGGGTAATCTTGCAATGACAACACCTTCTAGTTGTATAGATGAATCGGGTTTTCTACAATCCTCAGAAAACCTCGGTTCCGAGAACCCACAATCTAACACCTTTGTGAAGGTAAAGTCAATTTTTTTCTATTACCTCCCCTAAATGTTCTTCTTTTTTGCACGCATAGTGATGATCCCTTGGAAATATTTGTGTAGGTGTACAAGTCAGGGTCATTTGGAAGATCGTTAGATATATCAAAATTTAGCAGCTACCACGAGCTGCGAAGCGAGCTTGCTCGCATGTTTGGCCTCGAAGGCCAATTAGAAGACCCTGTGAGATCAGGCTGGCAGCTTGTATTTGTTGACCGAGAGAACGACGTTCTTCTCCTCGGCGATGACCCTTGGCCGTGAGTTTCTTACTAATCCCGCATTTGGTTTTGTCCATTTCCGTGTTTATTTACCTGCATTTATCATTATCGACAGGGAGTTTGTGAGCAGCGTGTGGTGCATTAAGATACTGTCACCACAAGAAGTGCAGCAAATGGGTAAAAGAGGCCTTGAGCTTCTCAACTCCGCGCCATCTTCCAACAATGTCGATAAGCTCCCGAGCAACGGGAACTGCGATGACTTTGGGAACCGGTCAGACCCGAGGAATCTCGGTAACGGTATCGCATCAGTTGGGGGTTCATTCAACTACTAGAAGTAGAAGGAAACCCCCCTTTTTATTCAAGTTAAGTTTCAATCTTATAAATTAGTAGTGAGATCCTCTTAGTTTAATTACTAGCAAAATCTCTCTTTATTACTTATAAAAATGGGGAGATATGCCTTTGTGAAAACAAAAACTATATAATCCCTCTGTCGACTCGTAATACTGTAATTATAAGATCTTTTGGTCTTTTTCTTATATGAATATTTTTTACTCAACTTTTATATATGTCATTTTCTTTACTCACTTCTTCAATCAATATGATAGTGAAGGGTTATTTTGGAGTCATATTAAGACTTTGTCTGACTAAAATGGTCCACAAAGAAAGTGATTTGGGTCCCAATCTCCTTATTGGAAGTGAAAGCGTTTTGTGGTTTTGTTGTGTGAAACACCAAAATATTCCGACCCGCAATTTGGGGCTTTACCCTAAAATTAGATCTCATTTTGCGTCAGCAAAACCTTTATCTCTAGACACGTATCGATCCGTAGTTCGTAGGACACTTTTATTGGTAGGTAAATTAATATATATGCCCTAGCGTTTATAGTATGTTTAGTTTTCACCAAAGAATATGAAACGAAATTTGTAGAATGAGTATGGTTTTTGTTTGCGTCTAAATGTTATGATAATTAGAATATTATAACATGTAAACGTGAAAAAGGGAATCTAGCTCCTATTAAATTGACAATAAACGTCTTTTGATTATTGATCGAAATTGTTGTGAATTTGGAATTAATATCTTGCAATATAACTTTTTCTTGTTGGGTTTTATCGGAATATGATTAGGTTAGCTATGGATTGGGCATCATTTGAATAGTAAGAAGAATTTATGGTATAGTTTGGTATTTGATTTTTTTTGTTTGATTGTCCATTAGGATCTATATATATAAAATAGAGTGACCAATTAATGAAAGACCATGTTTTATAAATGTTATTGAGTCAAAGAAATAACAAATCTGATAAAGAGATATTTGTAAGTATTTGGTTTTGATATGTGGTGTATGAATGTGATTCACATAAATCTTTAGTGGTGGGACTCTATATTCTAAGTAAGAAATTGGGAATGGTTGAAAATAATGTTGGGTGCATGTGGTAGGGACATTTATAGATGACACAAGTTAGGGCACTTTCATGAGCCCTAATTAAATAGTGCATGGTGACCCATCATTCTGAAAGTTCTCACCTTTTTTTCTTTTCTTTTTTTTTTACCTTTTTTTCTTCTTTTAAAAGTTAGTTCTTCCTCTTACAAAGATCAATAATAATTGTAGTTGTTGATAGGATGTTGTAGCCATTCATTACATCGTTAAGAATAGATTCAAATGAAGATCTAAGATCATAGTTTATCAAAAAAAAAAAGATCTAAGATCATAGCTTTTATCTATCTACACATAGAATCATATGTCTTTTCTAGATAGATGTCATAATTAACTATATCATTTCAATCTTATTGGAATTTTAATGACTTTAGTGTCTAGATTTCATTATATAATTAAAGAATTCTTGTTTGTTTAATTTGAGTTTCAGAAGCTGAAAGAGAACGAATAAAATTCTTTGGATTCATTAATTAAAAAGCATGCATGAGTGCATCACTCTATAAATAAAATTATTTTTATTGATAAACATAAATTGGAAGAGGACAAGGTCCATCCATTGGAGTAGGATCTTATAGCCGTAATTGATCTTAAAAGGAAAACATTTTAAGCTCTAATAATTTTGTTGATCGAATGCATAATTTCTTTTAAAGTTTGCGATTGAAGACCTTAACTTTATCCAGTTGTACTATTTCTAATTCGGTTTCATTAGCAAATAGAAATAATCAAATGATATTTTCACTGTTGGTTCCATTATTCCATAAATCAATTCAGAATAAGAGTACCACCGTAGTTGAATGGAAATAATATCCTAAATTTCTATCTATAGATGTATGAAATTGAAAATGAATATAACCAAAATAAGCTTTTAGCGATAAGGGTTTTGAGTGGATATATGAAATTTGTTATTGTGCGACTATCTTTCTCATTTATCTCTTTTAAAAACGACGAACAGAAAACGTCAAATGTGATATTATTGATTATTGTAGCACTTTTTGAACAAAGTAAATAAAGGTACCTTTTGAGCATTGTAAGACCAAAGAAAAAATAAAATTCTTTGGACCATCCTTTCGTTGTACTAACTACTTTGTTACCATTTCACTGAGTGACCCTTTTTAACATATTTAATTATATTTTGCAAGGATGGTTTCCATGCGATGGAACAACCATGCATTGTTAACGAACGATCCAATCTAGAATATAATATGCCATAACTTCCACAAAATTACATAATCTAATAAAAAGCATAGATAGTAGTGTGTTACCCATGTTTCTAGAGGTTTGAGGCGAATTAAAAGAAAATGAGTATTTTCTATAAATATATTTTAAAGATAATTATAATTTAGTTTCAATTACAAAATATTAAATATGAGAAACAATGATAGATAAATCTAAAACATTTGCAAAAAAAAAAAAAATCATAACATTTGTTTTCTTTTCTACAAAATTTTCACCAAACTTTCATAATCGAGTTTTCTAACCAATTCATTCAACCTCACTTGTGACATAGTTGATCACAAATATTAGCTTCATTTTAGAAACTTACTTTCAGGAGATGCAACTTGAGTTGGAATCGTCAATAATATTCGATAAGTCATCCATAAGTTTATATAACAATCTCCCATGACCAATCTTTTGAAGTTTCTTGGCCAATTTTATTTGAGAACTTTTGGAGAGGAAAAATGATCATGGGCCGTTGCAGAAGAAGACTTTTAAAACCAACAAAGGTTGAGATCACACTAAATGCATACATTTCGAATTTATCACAATGAACTTTTTTGGATAATTGTACTCATTTAGTCATTTTAACATTGCCCATGGGTCAAAGCCCAAATATATCAGTGTAATCCAAAGAGGGCCTCTAGATGAAGATAAGTACAGTAGCTACAATTGCTGGTCGGTTTGCAAGTAAACCATTTCAAATTTTGTTTTATTCTATATTCTTTAGAGGTCAATGTCGTCTACTAACATCTAAACATAACGCCAAAAGTTCACTTCCAGTAATTAATTTGGCTTTCTTGGATTTGTTGTCAGTTATGGTTAACGTGTTCCTAAAGGCAATTGCAAGCCCTAACTTAAGACACAATCTTTGGCATTCTCTTTTGAGTCTATGCAACATACTATGCATTTCATTTATATATTACAAAAAAGGGGTTTGATAATCCAATCAAGGTTTACTCAAACACCGAAAACTCAATCCAGTGCCTCATGAGAACAAACCACAACATATCTTGTAACTTGATGCCGGTATTCGACCAGTTTCCCGGATATATTGGGCTTCAGCCACTGCCTTCTCCGCATCACGGGTTTTTCTAGCTTCCGCTAAAGCCCGTTTCTCTTCTGACCTTTGCTTAGCCATCGCAATTTTCTTCACTATCTTTGCTTCAGCTTCAGCTTTCATTTGCTCAACTTTAGCCTACCGACAGAAGTTTAGCAATGACTTTGGTGTAAGTGACCAAGCAAAAGTTCCAGAGAATAAGAATTTGGTCCTACGCCTCACATACCTCGATTTGTCGCATTTCTGCTTCGAGTTTCGCTTTCTCCTGACTTTCCCAAGCTTGGATTCTGATTTCCTCACGCTTATACCTAAAAATTTTGAATTTCAAAAAGAGAAACAACACATTCTAAGTCTTTTACTCTATGTTTCTCCACTGGACATGCAAAATATGTGGTTTATGTCATAAGAGCAGACAGACCTTGCATTATGTTTGGATTTCTCAGCTTCTTCCCATGCAGTCGCTCGTTTTTCAAACTCAATCTTCTGTGCCTCCTCTGCATCTCCATTGTTGTTATTGTTCTCCGCTTCTTCTTTACTTGCCCAAGCGGCGATGTTCATCTTCCCTAGCTGAACTCCGAGAGCTACAATCTCTCTTCGCGTCTTCGCTTTCTCTTCCTCCTCAGATAGTTCTCTTCTTGTGTTTTTCGGCTGGTTTTGCGATAAAGAAGATTCCTCTTGTTGGCCACCTCTAGGAGTAGAAGGGAGAGATGAAGTCGGGCTAAGAAGAGGAGTTGTTGCACCAACTGGTGTGACCGATCTTGAAGGTTCTTGACTCGGTATTGGCGTCATATCGGTTCCCATATCTCTCATACAAACAGAACGAATCGCATGACCACCTTCACATATACAAACACTTATCTTGTCAAGCTCCGCGAGCTCTAATAATCAAAACAATTTCACCAAAAAACTAGTCACCTTTTTTACCTGTTGAATTATCATGTGATGGAACCTTTGCAGTATCCACAAGATCATTGCTTTGTGTGGATTGATCGATCAACGAGTCTCCTCCATACTCTTGAGTTAGAATTGGATGTGGCGCCGAGGGAACAAAATTAGGGAACTTCTCGAACCCATCAACTTGTGAGGATTGGCACAGATCCATCCTAGATTTGTTATGCTCATAACCTGCATTATCAGGCACGACTCTCACGGGCATTCGGTTCCCTTGACCGTTCTTCCTCATCACCATGTTCTGTCTGCTCATTATCCACTTCTCAGCATCATTCCATTTAGATGGCATTTGTCTTGAAGGATATCCTCTTGAGCCATGATTCTGATTTGAACGCTCACCACGAGCTCGGTGAAACTCGAAGCTTGAAGAGCTAGCGTTACTGTCATAATCAAGATTTTCATCTTCTTGAGGTCTCATTACATTAGGAGGAGCCATATTCAAGTCCCCTTTTCTAAATTGCTGAGGTCTCAGTTGATCGTTTTCCCTTGGAACAACACCTTCACACCGATCTTTCGAGCCTTGATTATCGCTCTCTGTTAGGTCCAAAACCGGCTCATTTGGCAGTTTAGCTACTTCTATATCCGTTGTTGAAGCCGCCACTAGAAGTCACACACAACAAGAACAGAGCAAAGACACAAACTTTAGCCAAGTGTTCAGTACCAAATACATAAAACGATCAAAAGACTTCAATTATAACATAGAGCAGAGAGACGAAACAAACAAGAACAGGTCAAAGACGC